GCTGTCGCTACTGTCTGACTTGCTGTCACTGCTGTCACTACTGTCACTGCTGTCACTACTATCACTGCTGTCACTACTGTCTGACTTGTCACTGCTGTCGCTGCTGTCACTGCTATGACTACTGTCATTGCTGTCACTGTCATCTGATTTATCTTTGCTGCTGTCTGATTTGCCATTGTCATCACCTCCATTGTTACCATTGTCATCATTGTCACTATCATTAGCATCTGATGTGTTATCATGATCATCATCGTCTCCTCCTTGTGAGTCACTGTCACTGCCATTATCTTTTGATTCATCAGAGTTATAAGAAGCATCTCCTCGGCTACTGTGGTTATTATCACCTTCAGAATTGGCATCTTCACTGCCATTAGACTCATCGCTGCTGTTGGGATCATCTCCTTGCATGGATTCTTCATCAAACTCGTTACTGTCATATCCATCACTGTTACTGTCACTACGTGTTTTGCTGGGTCCAAACTTATTTCCAGGCTCTGATTTCTGGCCAAGTCCTTGCATGATGTCAGCCTCTCCTTGGGTCTTGACATTTCCTTTGCCCACAATCATTCCATTTTGGCCTTTACTCTCTTTGTCTTCATTGACTTTCCCAGTTTCTTTGGTAATATTGTTTCTGTTGCCACTGCTGGGAACTTCAACTTCTGTTCCCTACGGAAAGATGGAGAAAAGCATGATTAATTAGTGAATGTTATGCTGCAAAACTGCATTGGTCTGAGGAAGACTATCTGGGGAAAGTGCCCAGAGAACAGGAGTTCAGCTTCCACTGCTTCAGAATTACCTGTTTGTGAAAATGTGCCTTATTCACTACTTGAAAGTACTCTGGTGTTTATAGGCCATCCCAGTAGGATGTCTACCTAGTAGGAACTTTGGTAAACAGTTATATGGTGAATTAATTGTTTAGCATATGACTTTTAAAGAATTATAACCAAGTTTTCAGAGATATCTGCCTTTTAAAATTGTTCTGTATCAATTTTTAGTAAGGACCCCAGCTTTCCCCTTAAACATTCAAGTAATTTAGGTGCAAAAATACATGAATGTTTGTCACGCTCTATTTTTGTGCTACCATCAGTGGAAGGAGAGGGAGAATTTAAACTACCATTGAAAGAAATCAGCTTCACAAACTAACCTTATCTTGGCTCTTCCCAATAGCAGGTGGCTCTAATTTTTCAGTGATTCCATTTTCCACAGCTTTGATTTCTTTGTGACTGGGTTTTTGAGTGCCCTCTATTCTTTGACTACCATTGTCTTCTGGAATATGGTCAGACTCTTCCTCACTCTTGGAGGTGTTGTCTCCATCAACAGCATGGGAGTCTTTTTTGTCCCCAGGGTCACCGTCTTCACTACTAACTGAATTTTGACCTAAGCTATTGTCGTCATCATCTTCTTTTCCATAAGGCTGACCCTCCTGGCCCTTGCTGTTTTCTGTGCCCTTTCCTCCATTCCCTGTTTCCTCACCTTCATCATCACCAGAGCCCTTGTCTTCATCCTCATCTGCTCCATTCCCACTAGCACTTCCATCAGAATTATCCAGGCCAACATCTTCTCTATTGCCAATTCCACTTCCTCCTGGTGTGACCCCTGTTTCCTCATTCCCACTTCTCTCTCCTTCTCTCTGTGGTGTTACTGCACTTGTATCACCCCCATTTCTACAGAAATTCCCATTTATTTCATCCTCATGACCTGTACTGTTGTTGCTTCCAGCTGCTTGAGGTCCATCTTCTTGGACAACAGTGGCATCCTCACTCTGACTTGCATTTCCAACACCCCCATTTTCTGAATGCTTGTCAACAATTCCATTAATATCGCTCCCATTTGCTGTGTCAGCACTGTTGATGATGCTTACTTGCCCCCTGATGCCATTTACGGTGGCGCTATCTTCTTGTCCATGTATCCCATCATGACCATATGTTTCTGGTTTTCCTATGCCCCCTTTCAGACCCTCAGTGTTCCCCTCTTCGTTTGCTACTGTAGATTGTGTAGAACTCCTTTCTACTTCAGCCCACTCAGAGCCATTCCCCTCTCCCTTGTAACCATCTTTGGTATATTGTTGTATTTCTCTTTCTTTTTCATACATGGGGACACCACTTTCTTTGGTGGTATCATTGGCATTTAACTCATCCTGGAAAAGAGAAGCAGTTCAAAATAAACTGCGGACATCATCTTAAAGTAAAGCAAACTGAAAAGATGAGCATTGATTTTTTTGGAATCTAAAAACAGCTTAGAAACACATTTCTACATTCTATACCTGTATTGGCACTTTCGGTTTTGCTAGAAGATTTAAATCCACATCTTTGTTCACAGCATGTCTTTCCAATGGCTTGATCTGAGGAACCTACCAAAGTGAAAATACTGGAATTGAAAACATTCTTATTTTGTCTACATGCACACACACACATGCATGCACTTTTCACTAAATGAAGGAAAAAGAGACATAACACAGAGGCCAAAGAATGATCTAATTGGGTAGAAAAGAAAAGTGGCTTGTCACAGGGCTTATATAGAATTTGAATTTGTCATACAGATATTTTTCATAACAGTATTACCAATTTTACTGAAGTATTAACCAGACCACTTGTCTCAACTGTAGAAATGGAAGTCTTTGATAAAAATAAGGAGAGACCTTTGGTGTTTCTGTACGTTAAGTTTCTTGCAATAGCACCAGACCCAAGTTAAGTGTAACCTTGGCCAAAACCCCTAAGAGAACAGTAGGCATGACCAGAGGCAGGGCAGAAGCCAAAGCAAGTCCGATGCTCCTTCTGTGCCCTTCAAGAGCACAATGGAAATAGCTGGGAAAACTCTCAACTACATAAATACCAACAAGTTTGGTATTATGAAAAAATATCCATATCATAATGTTAACCATAAAACTGACTAATAGAATTGCAAATGGTTTAATTTTCCTAATTTTTCTTTGTTGGTGTTTATCTGTATATTCCAAATTTTCCACAGGGAGCATATGGAAAATAATTCTGTGAGTGAGACATTAGTTTCCCCTTTGTTGAAAAAAATGTGATTTTTTTCCCTATTTTTCTTTCTTGGAAACTTCCTAAACAATACAGTCTTCACTGACATTAAAATGAAATTCATAGGGCATGAGCAAAGATGGACAAATCTCCATGACATCTAAACATTAAATGTAAGTTAATCTAAATGAATTTTAAAATAATACTTCCAACAAGACAGGAGTTTCTGTTAGAAGAATGGGAACACGCATTGGAGTGCATATTTGGTTTTCTTGAGACCCCTAATATACCTTGTAAAGTCTTCCATGCAAATCTAAAAGTTTAGGCTTAGCTGATCTGTAAGGTCTCAAGGAAATACATGTTTTTTTCTACTTTTTTTTTGATGGAGGTACTGGGAATTGAACCCAGGACCTCGTGCATGATAAGCATGTGCTTCACCACTGAGCTATACCCTCCTCCTATATATATTTTAATGTTAGTTTAAAAGAGGCAGCAAAGTAAGATTTTTTGAGGAAAGCATACTTACTGGAATGGCCCATGCTACCACCCAAATGCAAAAATATATAATTATCTTCATTTTCTTTAGGAATATTAATCAGTGGCTGTTTTTGAAGGGAAAAAAAAGAATAGCACATAATTACTTAAAGAGCAAAAAATGATAACCATATAATGTATTATTTTGGTCTGTAAGCATTTGCCTTTTTCCTAGGCAAGGTGCATACATCCAACATGAGAAGAAGCTGCCAAGCCTCAGGGCTCCAGAACACACCTGGAGTGGTCACAGAGACATGGAAGGACACCATCAAGCTCAGAACTGATGGAGCTACCTACTCTTTCTGCCTTTGCCAATGAAGGGGTACAGCCATGCAGTTACAAAAGCCATAACTATAACTTTCTCCTTCTGCTCTTCTTGATGGCAATAACATGTCTTCTGAATAGTTGTAATCAAGCATTAACTAATCCTGCTACGGTTGTGCTTAAAAGATAAAGCACTTATCATCCCCACCCCAAAGCCGTACAATTGGGCTGTACTCGGTGGCAAGGGAGAGAAATTACAAGCATGAAGGAGTCCAGGCTAGTGGAAAGAATGTGGAGTTGGGATTCAGAGACCTGAGTTCAAATGCTACCTTTGCTACTTGACGTGTGAGCTTGGGGAATTTAAGTCGCTTGTTTAAGCATTTCATTCCTCGGTCGAGGATAATAATGATACCTGCACTTCAGGATTATCCCGATTATCAGCAGCAGAATTTTCTCTGAGAACATTCTTTGACTCTATGTCAAAGGGCATTTGGTGTCTCTCCCTCTTTACACCCTGCAGCTTCTGTACACCTCACTGGGAGCAGCACAGTGTTCCCACTGTTTTAAAATAGCCTGGTTACTTACATGTTTCCCTGCCCTACTGAGAGCTCCTGAGGTCCAGGTGAGTGTCTTGGTGATCACTGTATTCCAAAATGTGGCACAGGAAAAGGGCATTTTGTGAATAAATACTCATTAGTATAAGCAACGCGTAGCACTGTTCCGTGCATTTAGCAATCTCTTAATAAATGATAGCAATTATTATGTGGGACTTCTATAAACATGACCCTTCATTCCTATTAGAATTCACATTCAGAAATGGTCTAATACATATTTTCAGTACAGTGGGATAGACAGTGCATTCATGAGAATCAAAATTTTAAATTGCTGTTTACTGAAAATTGGATTTCTTGATGTTATGATGCTATCGCTATAGAAAGAAAGGAAGAATTTTACTTCCATTTCATGCATTCCCACTGGGCTTATAGATTATAATACCGCATGTCATTAGATAGCCTTGATTGAATTTAATAGTGATAGTGGAAACATAATAAAACCTCAGCGAACATCAACTGGCTTAGAAGTATTGGCATTTCCTCTCAGAGCTACTGAGTTGGGGGAAAAAAATTGTGCTTACTCTTAACAGCCCTTCAGCAGCAAGCCAGGAATAGCTAGACCTCCTTTAAAAATGCTATAGTTTAAAAACGAGGCTGAGGAGGCCTCAGGACAATACAATCAGAGTTTGGGGCATAAATGTTGAAGAGCAGCTGTTTAGGAAGCCCAGGTTATACTGTATTTTGCGGTCCCAAACCTAATTATTACATAGACTCTGAAGAGGCCAGTCCACACTGTGATTTGGAGGGAACACGGTATCCTGGAAAGGTACCTAGAGTGCAGGCCAGGGTTATACGCATCCCATTTCTAAGCTGCAATCCTGCAATCTGACCACGATAGCCCTCCTTCAGATCCACTCTGGAATGACTGCACGATGCACGACGCTGCTTGCCACTGCATCCTCAGGTAGGGAAATGGCTTGAAAAACTACTATCGAAATGGCTGTATTGTCAGCCTGAAAGCAGAGGCTTCAGAATTGTGTGAACCCCCTTCATATTGTTTCATGTATTGTCACAAACAAAATGAGATTTTACTTAGTTACTGGAACAAGTTAATAAAATCTTAAAAGGCAAAGCTTAACTAAAGCTCTGATTTGAAGCCCAATGTAGATATTTTAAATCTGAGTTATCCAATTTTTTATCAAAGCAATCAGATACTTTTCAGGTTCCCACCTCGGTTTGCCAATTGTTTAGTAACATGTCTTTTATTTTCCAAACCTGTTATTATATCGTGGAACAGAAAAGGTGTGTGACAGAAGCCAGAATCTCCAGATATCCTCAGTAGAAGTATTTTAATCTAGTTTTAAAACTCCAATGTCAATTGGCAAAAATAATACAAAATTTTTAGGCCAAAGGTTGATTTTTCAGGGACCAAAAAATTAAATGTAAACTGAGATTCATTCATTCATTCAACAGACATTTGAAGGCCTAATGTGGGCCACATGCATGGAAATAGATATGAGCCCTACCCTCATGGAGCTTATCACTGAGTGGATTAGCCAGACCTTGAAATAAATGTAACATAATGTGTTAAATCAAATTCCCAAATCCATGTTTATTTATTAATAGAGTCAGGGGTTAAATGTTACTATTTGAAAGAGAAAGAGATTATCTCCTTTTTTATTAAATCTCATCACATTTTACATTGCAGTGGTGAGCCTTAAAAAATGGCTTTAACTAGATTAAACATCCTTAAAGATGGTTTTTCTGGATTAAAAAATAACAGTAATGGAGCTTTAGTGAATTATGTATCAGATAATCTAATCATTCATTCTGTTGTTAATATTTTATATATAAAATATGTGCTTCACCTTACACATACTTTTCCTGACTATTAGCAACTGATATTTTAACATACTGGGTGTGAAAAAAATTATATTCTTCAGTGATCCAATATTTTCCTAGATGGAATTAGTATACTTTACCACATAAACTTCCATTATCTTTTAATACATAGTCTTGCTTTGACAAGTCAAAAGGGAAAGGGAAAAGTCTAATCATAAGGGTTATTGGTTTCTTAAAATCAAGTCGGCTACTTCTCTGAAATTCAGATTTCTTTCTAAAGGAATCAGTTGGTTCTGAGTAAAGAGGATGTTCCATCTTACCTTAAAAGCCTTCAAAGGGACTTTGAAAATCCAGGATTTCTTATCTTTCTCTTTGAAGACTGAGAGTGGCACACTGCCCCGGACTTTTGCATGGCAATTTTGTACCTGCCGAAATTTAAAGTCAGTTTGATAATTTTCTCAACCAATCACTGTTTAGGATCCCTGATATGGGGTTATAAAGTGTCACCATGTCTATGAAGCACATAATAACGTCCCCCACTTCCTTCACTTGCTGATACGTATTTGCTCACTGAAACATTCAGTTCCAAAGGGACTAGGCTTACTTTCACTTAATTAAATAGCTCCTGGGAAGCTGTTCTGCATCTTAAATATAGATAATCAGTGTAACATATCTGAAAAGAGCCACTTAAACTCTGTCACCCTGACATTTCTTGTCTTACTAAGGTTGGCAATCTAAGAAAACTCTAGGTTTCTTTCGTAAATATACTGCCTATTTAAGACCCCTATCATTCCTGAGGTAGGTATTAACATTCCTGTGCTATAATTCAAGAAACTGTCCACATGCAACAGCCCTGGCATGCCTGAGGAGGCTTTAACAATCTATAAACAGTAACTCCCATGAAATCTCTCTGACTTAAATAAACAGCAATATGAAGATTAAAATGTACCAATTTAGTATTCAAACTGAATTTTAAAAATAGATATTCAAGATACCAAAACTTATTGTAAGGCAGCTAGATGTGCAACAAGTGCATACAGGCAGCAGGTCTAGCTGTGAATTATCTCTCAGTTATCTGTGCTGGCTATGGAGGACAACGTAGAAAACCAGACGATAATTCTAGCAGAAGTTTGGGTACCTGAACTCACCTTTCTCTTGAACCCCAGACACATGCTACAATGCAGGTCATCCCTAAACCCGTTCCCCAATCTGTGAGTTCAAAACCTCAACAGTCTGTGTCTCTTCACGCACTTGTTCAGAATTTTCAGAAATATCCCAAATTCTTAAACCTTGTAATATCAACAGATGCGAACCAAGTAAGTTGCTATGACTACAACAGTGGTCACTCCAGGATTTATGTGTAGGACATTTACAGGGAAAGCAGGAAGGTTGAAAAGGAGTGGAAGAATGGAAAGAGGATTTGCCTTGAGGCTGTGTTTTCATAGCAAGCACTGTGTTTTTATTTAAACAGCATGTTTACATGGGTGGCTCTAAGGGCCTAAACAAATTTTAAGGAGTCTTAAGTCACTTCTGGAAGCAACACAACGCCCTCAGTCACACCTAGGTACTAGTAGAGGTTGGTGAACTGGTCCTGCCTTCCTTTTCCTTGAATTTGAATTAATGTGAATATTCTTATCTTTTGTTAACTTTCCCAGGTTTCAGCAAATGTTTGTGAGTCACATCCTCAGCTGTTTTTCTAGATCATTCTCTCTTGACAGTGAATCTCTTAATTTTAGCTTCTTTCACCATTTGGATAGACAGGGGCCTTTCAATATCATCAGATCCTGGTTCCTTTCCCTTTCACAATTTTTCTCTCAATGTATGTCTCCTCTTGCATTTTATTATAAGCAGCAAGAAGAAGCCAGGCGGCATCTTCAATACTTTGCTCAAAAATCTCCTTAGCTATATATCCAAGTTCATGGTTTACAAATTCTGCTTTGATCATAACCGAGGGACATAATTCTGCTAAGCTTTCTGCACAAGCATAACAAGATCCTTGTTCCTCCAAAATGCCCTTTTCACTTCCTTCTAAGACCTTATAAGCAGCGTCTTTAACATCTATATTTCTACTAACAGTTTTCCAGCCTCTACCCACTGTCTGATTCCAAAGGCATTCCCACATTTTAAGAATTTCTTGTATTAGTACCCCATTTTCATGTACGAAAATCTGTATTAGTTTTCTATTGCTACCTAACAAGTTGTCAAGTGTACTTTTGCTTTTAGAGGCCTCATTTAGCTCAGCCTCAATCAAATAATCTGTTTATCTTAAAGTCAACTGATTAGCAAACTTCATTACATCTGACAAATCTCTTTGGCCACAGAACAGGACGTAAATATGGAAATGATACTTCATCATATTCACATGTTCTCACCACACTCAAAGGGGAGAGGATTATACAAAGTCATCTTAAAATTTTGCCTACCCCTACTTTAAGCTACAATGAAAGAAAATAGATCAGTAGCTTCATGGGCTGGGGGTGAGGGGGTGGAAGGGAGGGTAGAAGAAAGGGATTTTAAACGGTCATGAGGAAATTCTGATGGATACTTTTCATTGTCTTAATTGTGGGATTGTTTAATAGGTGTGCACCTATGTCAAAACATCAAATTGTACACTTTGAATATGTACAGTGCATTGTGTGTCGATCACACCTCAATGAAGCTGCTAGGGGAAAAAGGTAATTAATCTATTTCTAATCCTGTAAATTGAGAAGTAAAACTATGGTTTCAATAAGATCTCATCAAAGAGAAACATAAACTTTAATTTATTGTGAAAACCAAACAATTAATTAAAATTTAACATCAACTCAGTAACTAAACAAGTTACCTATAAACTCTTAATCAGGACTGTTATTCTGTTCCTAAGGAAAGAATGGAATCGAAGTCTTAATCTAGAGGCTACTCTATTACCATGACTTTGAACTGTCTTCCTGTTTTCTTAAATTTGGAAAAAACAGTAGCTGAACCAAATGTCAAAATTAAGGCAAGACTAGCAGTACAGACACAGGATATTTTAACTCAAATTATTTTAAGTTGTGTACTCAAACTAGTTCACAAACCAGAAGTAGGCACTTGAGTATGTGTTCTCTGTATGAGC